TATAAAAATCCACCTAAGCTTTAACTGTCATCAGTGATATTAATGCTACCTTATATAACGACAGGTAATAAGTCCCAGATGGTTTCTAAAATCACAAATTAGTTTTTGTGCAAATTGCAGATAGAGGGTATTAATGAATTCAAGCCCTCGATATTTCACATTTTTATATTTGTAAGTTATTGGAAGCAGGGATGCCAACTAGGCTCAAACCGTGCCATTTGTTCCTATTTTACTTCAAATGGCACTTAATTTTTCAATTTGGCACTAAATGCCAAAATGGCACTTTTGTAAAAAAAAATAACATTTCAATACATTTTTGTGAAATCCTTTGCGTGCACTTCTTTTTCTCAACTAAAATTTTCTAATTTATAAAGGCTGTTCAACTGGTTTATCTTATTTTATCATTGCACTTTTGTTTTGAAAATGTGGCTTTATTTTATTGCTAAATGTGAATGACTAAAAGGAATTACACCTTTTTTGGCACTTTTATTTTTCTATTTGGCACATTTTGGCACTTTCTTTATACTCAATATGGCACCTCATAACTAAGGAGAGTTGGCAGCCCTGATTGGAAGATTTCTGCTGTGTTTTGAGGCAACAACTTGTCTGCAGTAAAAAAGCATATAATTTGTGTTTCAAAAGTGTGTGAAAACCAATCAATTAACTTATATGATCTCGGTTCCGATATTAAATAATCAATAATTGTTTATACCCGCATTTGGCACATTGGCTCGTTGAATGTGCCATCTAATAAATGGTGTCGTCGTTCTCCTTAGCTGCTTTTAAATGACTGCTGGCGGAGACATAAATACAGTGTAAGAAAATTCTTTTTCTGTAATTGTTTCCTTATAGAAAGGTTGGGTTCTTTTCCACCTTAGACGTTCCGAATTCGTTCAAAATATGCTAATTTAAAACACAGAATTCTTTCAGTGCTCCTCCGGGGGTTTTGGACATGTACTGTTTCTTCAATTTAATAGTGTTCGCTTTATTTTTGTAGAAACGAAAAATGTTTTGCAAGTTATGGATCATTTCTCCACTCTTTCTTCAAATATTTCTCGTATTCCAGCTGTGCGCAGGCGTTTAGTTTTTCGCATAGTGTTTTTACATATTCGTAATTTAAATTCTTTTTTTAATAGAATCAATTGGAGGTAGTTCATGATTGTGTGTGGATTAATATCACAACACTGGGGATTTGGCAAAAGCCTTTTTCATCTATTAAAAAACAACACTTACGGGGCAATGTTTATTGTAAGAACAACATTTTTTTTTATGAATCGACATACTTTAAGCATTGTTGACGCTATTTCCATTTGAATGAGGAAATAGCGTCAATGACTTTATTTCCAAATTTTTGTTGACTTTATTTCGCTTTTTAAAAGGTAATAATGTCAATTGACTTTATTTCGCACCAGGGTGGGAAATAAAGTCAATTGACCTTATTTCCATTGACCTTATTACCTGTCACCCCCGATTTCCCGACATTTTGATCATAACTTAAGATTTTGGGATTGCACTCGAAATTCTGCTAATGCAAAAATTATTATTTTTAAGGGGTCTAAACAATTCATAACTATAAGTCTTTGGTCAGAAAGGTTATTCAAAAGTAATTTTTCAAATGGTGGAACATAAAAAAGTGTATCAGCAGAGTAATAACAACCCAGTGGGAAAATGCAATGTCTGGGAATGCTAAAAGCAATGGATAACCCCTATAACCTACGCACGAAAATTTGCAAGAATTTCCACACAGCGATATCATACGAAAGTAATGTGTCGCATGTCACTTTACGAAACTACAAATTGAATTGAAAAAAAAAAAAATATATAAATAAAAAATAAAGCTCGCGCCACAGGTTATGCACCCGTGACCAACAACACGGCAGTCGAACACGCATTTATTCGGCTACAGCAGCTGTTGAGATAACGTGAAAATAAAACATAATTGAATTAGCTTTAAAACTGTTTGTTTTGTTTGTGGCTTCAAAACTACACATCATCCGCTCGCTTACTTTGCGATGCATCTTATCTTTCGACCGTAGCTATTAACCTTTCCTTGGTTGAAAAAGTAATGGATTTTTTTTCCACTGGGTAAGTATTGGGTTTTTAACTGCTATTAGTTGCCGCGTTCAGCATTAAAAAAAAAAATGTTGTTTACCGATATCGAAAGCGAGTTAATGTTTGTTACTAAAATATGTTATACAATTGAGGGATTCACAACGGTGTCGCAAGTGTCGTATTGTTGTATGTTGTAAACTTCAAAAGCTCAATTAAAGGTTTAGAGAACTTGAAAGCCACAACCAACTATTTTTTGACACTGTGAAAATTTAAAATATGACTATGATGGTACCTTGCGAACCCCCTTAATATATTTTTAGGCGTTTTAAGTTTACGACGTACAACAATATGACACTTACGACACCGTTGTGAATACCCCAAATGTGTAAGGATAATATTGGTATATAGTGTATTATGTCAGCGAAGCAAAAATGCGTGTTGATTGTGCTACAACCTTTTATCAATATTTAATTTCATTAGTTTCTGAGATACCCTGCAGTAAAATTTAGAGACAGTCTGTTAAAGCGCTAGTTCCGCTCTATACATTTCAGAACTATCTCCGAACTAGTGCAAAACGGCTGCAGGGAGGGACAGTTGAAACTTTTGGTGTGGTAGTTGCGCTCTGTTCAGAAGTAAATGCACAAATTCTCACTTCTCGTACAATACTAAAATAGCTCAGCGGGAAGTCTTCCGACTCCAACATCGTTGGTCGCTAGTTCAAATCGCGGTGGAGGCAGTTGTGATTTTCAGATTTAGTAAATTTAAATGGTTGAGTTCCGCTTAAAAATTTAAGAGAAAGTGATAAAATTTAATATAAATAAAATAAAAGAATAAAAAAATAAATAAAATGCAATCTGTAAAAGAACAGAAAAAATTTAAAAATATCAAAAAAATCTGATAGTCAAAATTTTTTTCATAAAAAACCTATTGACGCAGATCTTTCCAAAACGGAAAAAGTTCTGAAAAGAAAAAATATCCAGTAATTTAGTTTAAAAATTTTTTCTCATAAAAAAAACTTATTGGCCCAGAACTGTCGAAAATGGAACCAGTTCAGAACTAGTTCCAAAGTTATGCAGAGGTGACAATTTCCACTTCGCAGGACATCGCCATCGTAAAAAGACACAGTTGAAAGCATTGCGCTGGGATAGATCGAGAAAACCAGTACCGCCTCTTAATGAGCTAGTTGGTTGTAAACTGTTTTTTTTTTTGTGGTTTTTTGAATTTAACTTATCTTTTAAGTCTAGTATAAAGTCTTACACATATAATAGAGAGTAAGTAAAAAAGAAACTTGGCGCATTTTGGAAAAAAGATCATTACAAAAATAGAACATGAAAAAATTTATACTACAATAAATTATCTCGTATATCTAAGAAACCAAATTATTACACTGAAAGGACGCTAAAATGAGACAAAAAATGCCGAGACACGTAAACTTAATTTCGAGTCCTATATTGCGGTCCAGTATACTTTTTTCCTAGAAAAGGTCATTTTCCCAAGATATTTTCATTTCAAATTTGCATTGCGAATGAAGAAAAATTCAAACTTTAACATGGAAAATGTTACTCATACGCCATGAACGAGTGCGTGCGAGTATGGCCATGTACAATATGGCGTATGAGTAACATTATTTCCTGCTCCTATTTCATACAAAAATATTTTGCACATTTTCATTTGACCATTCCAAAGTTAATTTGTTATCCATCGATTTTGATCGCTGGTAGCACCATTTTTTGACAAAAGAACACAGGCTGTAATACAAATGAAAACAAATACAAAAAAATGTCCTCGTTTTTAATATTTTCCTTCTTAAAGCTTGAATTTTGTTCATAAAAATGAAAATATCTGGGAAAAATTAAGTTTACTTGCCTCGACGGTTTTTGGCATCATTCCAAAACGTGAGATTTTCCCTGCAGTGTTATCAACGTTGCAAAACAATCCACACGCATTGCTATGTATCTCGCTGACTTAATGCACTCTAAACTAATATTACGTCGCTGGGCGCGCAATACCTCGTATCCGCCAAGTATGAGGTGGCACAGCAAAAATTCATTTTGGTTCCCTGTTTCAATGCTTGCTTTCTTCAGTTAGAAACCTGCTATTTCTTTTTCTACAAACCATTGCGCCTGCGTTATGCGATGTAAATCCAATAAAATTTGAGAGTGGAATATAATTTTCTTCCAAAGTTTCAATTATAGAAATATAAGGAAATTAGTAAAAATACCCTAGAAGACATTGCTGAGCACTTTAGGCAAACATTTTAACACATTTACACTTTTATTTTTGTAGTATGGCATAATTGAGTAATTTGACTATTAGTACTGAGGACTTTCTGATGACAACATTGAGGGGAAAATACTCAATTTTTTCCCATGGTCTGAACAAAAATGAATACTTTGAAAAGCTATTTTGTAATTAGTGATAATGATAATATGAGCTGTCTTGTAGGATATTAATATGAAATTTTAAAAGCCAAAAAGGATCAAAAGTCGCATGAATTTGTTAAAAATTTCCAAAGTTGGTTTCAGGGAGATTAACTCTCCAAAAGAGGTAAATTAGGAATTAAGTCGCACAACGGTAACACTGAGTGTATGTATAAATGTAGTCATAGTAGCTTGCTCCAGTTGCAGTGTGTTCTAATTAATTGTCAATTAGAATTCACTAATTCGACTCGGCGCCATGAGCAACGATATGATTATGCTTTGACCGCACACGAAATATGCTATGCACTCCCTTAGGAAGGTAGATACTTACTCAAATAGATGGCAATATGTATACAAATTTATGCATGTGAAAATATGCCAATTAATCTTGACTTGTATACGGTCATTAATTATTAGCCAGTTGGGTAGAGTTTTGCCAATTTGGTTATATGTAGTGTTAATAACTTAAGGGATATTCATTCCGCTTATATGCATAATAACGCGTACATCTCCTTAACACTCGCTCACCTTTATCCTTATTTTTGCGTTGTTCCTTGGCGCTCTTATCCTTGGATTTGCCAGGTTTGCAATTCTTCTTGATGACACGTGTTGCTTCGCACGATGGATCGCTAGTCGCCTTTAATTTATCAGCGCGTGTCATTTGCCCAGTAGCACACTCAGACCAGGAACCCTTCTCATATCGGCAGGCTACGCGTGTGCAGAATTAAAGGCAAAAAAAAAAATGTAAGTAGAAGAAAATTGGTTATTGTAATCAGTAATGATGTACGTAAGTAACTAAAGAGTAAATTTATTAGAATAATTAAAGTCATTTACCTAAATGTATGTTGTAGCCAAGATAAATGCATTGCCATTTAACCACACACATTTCTTAAGTATTTGTGAATAGATATGGTTAGGCTGAGGAGTTTTGCTACTTTAAATTTCTTGGGAAACAGTAACTGAATTCAAGTGAAATACAGCAGGAATTCTAAGCTGGCTGGCTTTCACCGCCCTCTCCGCTATAAATAACTTATAGCTGAATAAAGCGCTGGAAGCCTGAAATGTGGTGGGCGCCTAAAAATACTTTTGTGAAGTTAAATATACTCTAAAAGCTTCAGGCCCATGATGTCCTTCATGCTGAAATGTCAGGAGAGATTTGTTGAATTTCGTGTTCGCAGGGAAGCGCTCTCATCACATCCTTTGTCTTTGTATCAGTGTGCCTATCAGACGGGGAAATTTTGTGTACTGCCATCACTATGAAATATCATCGAAAAAATGAGCGATAGTGAAATGTCGCTCATCACTATTAATTGAAACCAACGCAGCATTTTCGGGCAGAAAAGAGTTGCATTATCTGCGGAGCTGTTTAGAGGGGATGCACAGTGCCGCCTAAGTGGGCAAAAATCGAAAAATTCGTTGTCTGCAATGTGAGCGTGTTTGGTGTTTTTGTTAAGGCTATTCATCCACTAAAAAGAATTAAACAGAAGTTTCCTTATAAAATAAACTATATGCCGCCAGGAAGCCACTAAAGTGGACAAATTTTATACTAAGAATGTTTATAAGACCATAGCCTTGCGTAAGCTCTTCACGAAAACAAATGTCAAAAATACATTATTTGAAATAAAATGTTGGTTTGACATTTTTTTACTTCCATATAGATAGTAGAGAACTACAAGAATAAAAATTTTGGAATTAAATTAAACACAGGGTGTCCCTGTGGAATTCCAGAAAAACAATTTTTTTAATCATAATTTCAAAAAAAAAATTTAATGGAATAAATAAAAAATATATGTAAAAATATGTTTTTTTCATTATTATACTTAATAGTAGGGGTTTATAACTTTCGAAAGAAGAAATAATGGGTTTTGGGCTAATGCATAAAATAATTTTCTAATTTTTTGTCAAGTCCATCAGATCTGCACGATTCGTTTTATTGAAATCTGAAAATGAAGTGTCAGATTAAAAAGCTTGACCTGTAGACAATAGAGGGTTTTTTAAAGAGCTGCCACCTGTTAAAAATGAAATTCAAATTTTTTAACAACTTAAATGAATTATAAAGAGATGGATATCAATCGAAATGTGTGTGAAAATATTATTGTTAATATGTATTATTTCTTAACTACATGTAGAGGGTTGCCAACTCTTTAAAAAATCAAATTCCACTTAAATTAAATTAGGTAATTGAAATAGATAGGTATCACCAAATGGGAGTCAGACGAAAGAGGTTTAAGAAGGTTTTAGCTTGCAAGTATTACGAAGAGGGTTCCACCTGTTTGTAAAATCAAATTTATCAAATTAAAATAATAATTCTGTCAAACCAAAGGATTACGACATCGTATTTGATATTTTATTACAAATACATACAGTGTCAATCAGTGATTTGTTCTGATTACATTCCTTTTAAATTACTGGACTCTTAAATTTACTCAGGAATGTTTTTACTCTTCACCTATTTCTTACTAAATATGTCCAAATTTTTCTTTTGTGTGATATCCATATCAATATACATATTTCATACATAATATACCTTTTTCCCTTAATTAATGTGAATTTGATTTTTTAAACATGTGGCAACTCTTCTACGTGTCGTTTAGAAGTAAAACGTTTTCAAAACCATTTTAATTGATTCCCCTATATTGTAATATCTAATTCATTTAACTTATTGAATAGTTTTAATAAAATATGCAACAGGTGGCAACCCGTTAAAAAAAAAATATTGCACATCTACAGGCCAAGCCTTGTCATTTGACACCTCACTTTTGAAAATAGGAGTAACTATATGTACATATACATATAAACTTTCATTGCAATTTTGTTTATTACAAATATGACTTTATTTTCGTCCTCAATTAGCTTAAAGCTCTTAATACAGCAACTTGCTTGCATAAAGGCCTACTCGATCGACAAACCCTTCTTCATCTTATCACAGAAAATATCCTCCATAAAACACCACAAAATAGACCATTTGAGACTACTTAAATGACCAAAAGGCACATAAAAGTTGTTGGTTATTTGTGGTAGCCAAGTTTTGGTCTAAGGTCGTAAATTCTCATACAATGTTATGCTCGCAAACAATTTAACTACAAAATTGGATGCTTCCTCACAGTGCTGAGCTGCATATGCACGGATAAGCAGAAATGCGTGCCTATGAAATGGCAAATGACTGCAACGATGGAGATGTGTGAGTGTTTCTTTAAGCAATAAAGACCGAGATCTGCTGCATATAGCAGCGAAATTAATGGTGCATATGTGAGAGAGTGCGTTCTGCCGCTTCCTGTACAAGGCAGGAAAAGCCCAGAGGAAACGAGTTAAGGCACTATTTCGTACATAAACATACATAAAAGGAGATAATAGTATGTATGTAAATAACTGCATATTCCGGTACACGCAAATACAGTGGTCGAAAAAATTATAGCCACATCAAGTATTGAAAAGTTTTCACTAGTTATTTTTTTTTTGTTATTTATTTTAGTTTTTTTCGTACAAATTTCGAGCATTTTAATTAGAATTCTTACAGCCAATTTCTCGAAAGCAATTTAAGTGAAACATGATTTTAATTTTATATGGAATTTGACAAAAAATTAAAAAATCTTTTTCTATTTAAATTGCTGGGGGAACCGGCTGTTAAAAATATTTTTAATACGAATTTTTTCTCTCATTCAATTCCAGTATAATGGCGAATTTCCACTAGGCATTTAAATGACAAAAAATTTATGCCATTTAAAAAATGCCATGTGGAAATGAACTTAAAGGCAATTTTTTTAATGTAAGGACACGATTATTTTGTAATGCCCGACTTTGTCATTTGTCAGTTTTGCCATTTAGTGCCTAGTGGAAATCTAGCAAAATAAAGTACAAGTTTCAAATGGCTAACAATTACCGTTGAAAATTTAGAATTTCGAAGGTGTTACGGTTTTTTTCCATATAAAAGTAAATTGTGTTTATGCATTGTATGGAAATTTTTTAAAGATTGAACTATATTTTTATCAAAAAAAAAATAAAAATTAAAAAACAAAAAATAAAAATGTCATACGGCTATAATTTTTTCAACCACTGTATATATCTTTACTTGTACATGTGTGCGCTACGTGGCGGTAGTTTCGGTAATAAAATTTAAACGAAATCCTACCAATTTACATTTTACAATCTGTGTCGCCGACTATCGTTATCAGTGACAGCAAATGGTCCAAACGATGGATGGCCAGTTGTTGGGCGAACGACCTGTCGTATAGGCTTGCGTAAATGTGGTTGATTGGCGTGCCACGCCTATGCCACAGAAGACGAAAAATATATATATGTATGTACATACATATGTGAGTTATAGCGCTATAAGGCTTTAAAAGTAGTTAGTTAGTCTACCGATACTTAGCGGAGCCACATACATATGTATGTATGTGTAGTACTTTATTGTTGGCGTTATTGTTGTGGGCACGGTCATTGTGTATTTTATGCATTACAATTTGCCGCCCTCCCCCCATGTGGGCTGTGTGTATGTTCGCTTGTCTGTCTGCTCAGCCAATTGGATATCGTGTCTGTTGGTGCATATTGCCATTGCAATTGCTGCGTTGGTACTTGGCAGCTTGTCCGCTCATTTTTGCCACATGTCCACAAGCGCCATATGAATTACTGCCGTTGCTGCCTGCTGCTGTTGCAACGTCCTGCCGCCGGCTACATATCGCATATATGCAATTGTTTTATTAATGCAAACAAACGAGATAAAGCACGCATACTGGCATGAAACCAATTCACAAATACATACACATACAATAGTATTTGCGTGAATGCATCCAGGTGCTCGCTTAAGAGTGTGCAAAGTACATTGAGACATATCCTATATTTATTTCCTGGTAAAAAAAATACTATAGTTTGCAAAAGAATTAAATTCATGCATACGTACTACATAAGTGCATAAAAATACACTCCAATAGGTGCAAAAAAGAAATACATAAATAAAATTAAGCGCCTCTGTTCGAATGCAATTACCAACTAAACCACATTTACAATGAACAACGACGAACTCTTCGAAACCTGGATTGTCCGGTTCTTTAATAGGTGGAAAATTCTTCTGCCCGGCTCGTTGAAACCATCGCACAGTGGGCCAAAGAGCCCATGTAGCGGAATTGAATTAATAAGTTTTAGATCAAGAGACCCAACAAGGGTGAGGAATTAAGGCAAGGATAATACATAAATTTGTAAATTTATAGATTTCTACAAATTTCTTTTCCTCGCTTAAAAATGAAATAACAACATATTCTCACAAATACTTTAGGTATCTAACTACTTATTTGAGGAAGCTTTAATTTTTTAATCTGATAGTGTTTGGCTATTGATAAAAAAATTTAAAAGCATGGGGCTTTCTTCAAAAACAAGCAGAAAAAACAGATACGAGTTTAAGGAGGCGGAGGAGGAAATGTACGAACAGTACATTTACAAAAAAAAAAAAAACTGGAATTGGCGCGGTACCGACTAATCGGTTTAGCTGCCTTTGGTGATGGCCCAATTAAAGCAAAAATGTTTCTTTTTCAACTGTAATCAAATCTTTAAGTGTCGTGGAATATTCGAATGAAGGTATTTATCACTTTTATTTGGTATCTTCCTGACTTTAAAATGTAGATGCTAAAGATTATTCATTCAGCAGCGGAAATATTTTTCCCTTTTTATGCTTTATATTTTCGATTATTTTGCGGTGCATTCATTTTTGATGCTTT